ATACAGTAGTGCTTTATAGAGTATTATAGGCTTACAATACATTATGTACATTTACAATAATGCTGTAGATCCATGGTTCCCAATTAGTGATACGCGTACCCCCAGGGGTACGCGAAATTGCGTAAAGGGGTATGCGCGGCAATCTAAAATTGGTTGATTTAAATGCATGAGATGAAGCAATCAAAAAAATAATGGGTGGACCATCAAAAATTCGGCAATTTACAGCATGATGTTGAATGCACAAATTAGTTTGTTTATAACTAAAAATATTCTTGAAATTTCATTAAAAAAAATGCATTTGTGACAATACCTAAATGAAATTCTTACGCAAGAAACAAAAATTGTACAATTAACATTATCATCATGTCAGCGAAGCGGCAGTAAAATATTTACTACCATTTTGCACAACATACCTCTGCAAGAGTGGATTTTTGGCCATGACAAACATGAAAACTAAACATCGTCACTGACTTCAACTTGAAGATGACTTGAGACTGAAGCTGACCAAAAAGCAACCAGATTTTACAAAATTGTGCAAAGAAAATTGTGCACATTTGTCACATTAAAATTAAATAACCTTATGTTATTTTCATTATTATTAGAATTGTATTTTAAAAGTAATTTATTTCTTTAGTCTGTTTTTACACTTATCTTCTTTCATTTTCATTTTAAAGTGGTTACATTGAACATATTTTAAATAGATCATCTCATCTGATTTAATAGAACTATTAAATCTTCATTTTCTGGCAATTTAACTCTGTTTAATTTAATTATAATTTTTTTTTTCATCACTAATGTTGTTATAAAAGAGATTTATAAATAGTAACTATTTTTTGAAATATTTTAACTTTTGATATTTCTTTCTTTACAATAATAATTGGAAAAAAGAAGTGTGATATGCAGTACATAAAAACATTATTATAAGGCATTTGTTGTAGAGACATTGTCTGTTGCAGAATGTAAAAGGAGAGTTGTCTACATATAGAATGTAAAAATTTTCTTTTATTTCTTTCTTTCTTTTTTTTGTCTATAAATATGAAAAGAATTTGCCAAATGCTTGAATATTATAATTTTTTTTGGCTATTAAAACTCTGGTTTATATTTTAAATCAATAACTGATTTTTAAAATTTAGCAATGCTTTGTCTTGCTAGATTTGTTTCTTTGTGAGAAGTATTTATATATGTAATATGTTTACACACATATACTTAAGTTGTGCTATTTGAATGATCAAATTTATTTATTCTGTCCATTTCCATCCTTCTCTTGTTTTTAATGGCACATGCATGCTAATAAATTTTGTATTTTTATTTTATTGTATTATATATGCCTATTTTTATTTCAATTATAACTTTGCTATATTTTAAATCAGTTGTGTTATATAACTGATTTAAAATATAGCAAAGTTATAGTCTGAAGAATTATATACAGTGTATATATATTAAAAAATCAATGCATACTTTTAATTCTATAAATTACATTTAAATTGTTAGGATATCATTATTGGGTTTATTTAGTATCAATAGAATATTGATAAACTCTAATTTCTGAATTAGTGTTTTTTACTATTATTGGATCTCATATGTTAGAATACTTGCATAAATAATCAAATTAAATTAGTTTGTTTAAATAATCTAATTTGCATTTTCATAAAATATAATAATTATTAAAATTGTCATTTTTGTAGAATTGAGGATATTGCTTTTCATTTTTAAAATTACATCAAAAAATTTAAATAATAATAATAATAATAATAAAACATTTGTTATTTATTATATTACTAAAAAAAAGTCATTTTTAATCCATTTTAGTTAATACACACAATTTTTTTAATATTAGAAATGAACCACACTCTTCAACTTCAGAAAGTTTTTATGATGAAGAGGAGGAGGAGGAGGAAATTCTTGGATCTGATGATGATGAACAAGAAGATCCCAGAGATTATTGTAAAGGTAATTCAATTCAAATATATACATACGTGCATGCATGTTTGATAAATTGGATATTTAGTATATATATTCACAGGAAACATTATTGTATTGAGATATGTTGTTTTATGTAAATATAGAAGTTTCATTCTGCTATAATTCTTTAATTGTTATAAATTAACTGTGTTAACTTGTAATTTAGGAACTAGAATTAGGAACTGTGTTATTATCTCATATTGAATTTAATAATTAAAAATATTGAAAAAATACTCAAAATGGGCAAAATTTGAACCATGTAATTCCTACAAATTAAATAGTTATGCTACAAATAATGCTATCTAGATCATTGCTCTAATTTTCATTCCAGATATATGATTCTATATTACACAAATCACTCATTGCTTAATTAGGTCACTTATTGTGTGCATCTGTTGATATTTTTTAATTCTAAAAATTATTTATTGAAATTCATAATAATAATAATAATAATAATAAGAATAATATGCTGTGAAATTTTACATAATGTTGATGCTAAATCTTGTACTTCAATATTTTGTTAATGTTTTTGTTAATTACTTGCCATTTCATTGAGTGAAATGCTCTCTTATGCTATTCTCAGTTGGGCATATTGTTGTATATGTTACTCAATTTTTAACATGTCTTCAGTCAAGCTTGTAATATGTGTTTATTTTTGTGAAAAACCTTATGTAAATTATTGATAATTGGTAAGTGAAACAAAAAATTCTTTGTGCAGGTAAAAGAAGATAGCTCAATGAATTCAGGCATGTTGATAGATGCAGAGTTCATTGTTTATCATAAAGGGCAATAGGTAGTTAGGGTGTGACTATGCAGATTCGAGGAGTGAATTTTCCAAGTGAGTGAGAATATGTGATGAGAAGAGGTGATGACATTTCACACTCTCTGTTTCTCACTCTCATTTATTATGACCACACAGACAAGAGCGAGAAACAGAGTGTGTGAAACATCATCACCTTTTTTCACTACATATTCTTGCTTGCTCAGAAAATTCACTTGATTGCATCTGCATAGTCACACCCTTACACTACCCATTGCTTTCTATTGTAAATAAGGCAGGGCTTTATTATTCATAAGGCTGACTATGTTGAAACCTAGAGGACTATCAATGTTTCTTCTTAGGACACTGTTACCTGTGCCCTAGGCATTTTTCAGTTTGCACCCTAACAATACATGTACAGTACATATATATATGCATGTTTCTGTGTATTTTTATTTATGTTACTTTAATGCTATATAAAGTTAATTGATTCTCTTTATATAACATCTATTAATAAGATCTGCTTCCTTATTGCAGGAAAACAAATTGTTTCTTATATTAAAACAGTTATCCATAAATTGTATATTTTATTAACAAATAAAAGTTTTATTTATTTTAAATTATCACTGTGTTGAACAGTTATATCTCCAAAATGCATTTTTACTCATGCAATAAAAATATAAAAAATTGTGAATAGAATTCTTCAGGAGATTCAAAATAGTTAGTGTTACATACTGTAGTTAGGTGAAAGATTGAAGTGGTAGGAGCCCAGAAATTGAAAGCTTAGAAGCCTGACCACAGAATAATATGCCCTGAATATGTGAGTAAACAATTGCTGAACTTCTCTTAGCATTTTGTTAGTATTGCATCATTATTGAATCAGATTATTAAAAGAAAAAGTGAATTATACGGAAAATTTTCATAGAAAAGTTATTCAGAAAAATCCACATAACTTTTTAAAATATATTTTGTCTGGCAACAATGAGATTTGGTATCAACATTATTAAGTTTACTTTTTACAGTAAAGATATCCCTTGTACAACATGCTCTAACATTGTTTGAAAATTGAAGATATCCTTGCACAACATGACTTCCGGTTTTGTTCTAACATGGTTTGGGAAATCCTCCATACAAAATTTCACAATTTTTAAGTGTAAACTTCATTATTCAATTTTTTTTTATTCAAGCAAGCATGCATGTTGTCTTAAATTTGCCCACAGATTTTAGAATATTGAAATTTTCAATTTGTTTGTGCCTTCCATCAGGTTTACTTTAATGAAAAGTGATACTGCAATTTTTTTTCTTCCTTCTCTTAGCTTTCTTATCAACAAGGTATCATTGTTGTTGCTTTCAGATTTTAGCCTTTAAGACCTACTGTGTTTTGTTTTTATAATTAATCTTTATATTTAATAAAGTTTATTTAGACATCTTTAGGTAAGTGTTATTAAACTTTTTT